GATCCAGGGTCATAGAATCAGACCATAAGGATCTGCTTAACTAGGGCTGGCTGATCATTTTCCACCAAAACTGTCTTTTGATGGAAAATTGTTAATTAATCCAATCTGCCTTCCATGAACACCTGGAACCTTTGGAGAACAATCAAAAACCAAAATATTTTGCTTTAGAAATGTCACCACCTTGCCTCATTTCCCCATTTTCTTCTGCAGGCAAGGTTCCCCAACCAGACTTTACCTCCAATGGTGCACCACACAGCTGACCAAGAAGGGAGGCCATTGTGCATCATGGTAGACGCAATCTGTCCAGTCAGCAGAAGAGAATGGGCACATGAGGCAGATGAAGTAGAACTCCTATGAGGCATCATGGCTGTATTTCCAAACCAAAATATTCTGTGTTTTGGCTGCTAAAAAATTCCAACTTTCAGGGGGAGGGGGCAGAGAGGATTAAAAACACTTTCCAAGCAGCTCCTCTGCTAACACAGTAAAAAATTTAAGGTTATTTTCCTCTCAAATGCCAGTTTGTCAGGGGAGCCTTTTTGATGAATTAGCTGCCCCAGGAGGCTATGGTCAATAACTGTGTATACCCCATCTTACTGATCTTCACAAATGTTACTTCTTGGAACCTATCAGGTTGCACTGCCTTAACATAGGCAAGTTAACACGCCATTATCAAATGCACCAAGGTCACCAACCTCCACCGGATGATCAGCTTGATCCTTTAATATTATGGATTCCTTGAGGAGATTGGAGTTCTCTCCGCTGGAAGCAGTAGGCCACACAGAGCACAGCCCACCCGCTTACAGACCTAGATGGACTGAAACAACTTCCCACCTTAGCCAGAAATGTGAAAGGAGGGTTGGGGGGGGAGAGAGGAATGAAGTTTCATATTTCACCTACCACTTCTAACAGAAAACAGAACAGGGTGGAGGGAAAAGAGGCAAATCCCTAGAGAGTGTAAGTGCTGGCCTCTCAGGTCAAAACTGGCAATCGTGCCAAGTCCTGTCACACTTATCTGAGAAAGGAAACAAATGAGGGAATGAATGGGCATGTTTAGCCACTAGGTGTTACTATTGCTCCATGGAACGAATGTGATCTCAGCAATCGCTTTGCAAAAAGAACTACTAATGTTTATTTCATTTGCAGGCTTTGCAGCTATAACTTAAAATTAAACTCTGCCAGCCAAATTCTGCCCCAGTGCGATGTTGCAGCCCACAGAAGCAATTATGTCTGCAGTGTGTAGCTGGGATGCAGATTTTGTCATAGTGTTTCTGCTTCTAATTCACTGCGTTAAACAGAAATACTCTGACCACTTGGATTTCTCTGCCAAAGTTTACAGGGAGGCACAGGGCCTGATTTCCAATTAGGCACAGAAGGCACATGCCTAAGAGCACCGGTGTTCTAGGGGCGCCTAAAAGTTAAAAGTGGGTTAAAGTTTCATTTTTTACAGAAAACACGAAGGTCAGCTGTAGGCGGGGGATGCGCTGAAGATGCTGTGCCTAGGGGCGCATAAGTGAGGGAAGGGATGCAATCTGTTTAAATGTGAGGAATGGAACAAAGTAACAGGTCTTTTGTTGTTTTTTTAAGGTAAGTCTGTTCAGATTTTAAACACTACTGCTTTACAGATGTTTGCTGAAAAGGAGATACAGTACCTTTAACTGACTGCTAGTCTCTTCTTTGTCCCCCTTTAGACTAAAGAGAGAGAGGCTCAGAGTAAAGGCCAAAGCCAAGCATAATGCTTTTGAACTAGCAATTTAAGAGAATATGGATTGCTGGGGGAAATATATCAGTAATTAATCTGAAAAACCAAATACCTGAATGGCTTAAATTGTTAAAAATCATTAGATTGACTTTGGGTACAATTTTCAAAAGCACCTATGTGAGTTGGGAGCCTAACTTCTATTTTCAAAAGTGATTTAGGTAGGTAAGAGTTTAAATCACACTTCTGAAAATTTATAAGATATGATCCTCTTACTCCCTTGTGCTTGATATAAAAAAAACACACGCACTTTATATCATCTGACAACTCATTTGATTATGAAGATCACAGTTGCTTGTTGGGTAGATGTGAAAACAGCCCTCTTTCCTTTAACCAGTGGTTAGGTTTTATTGTTACCTCTTGCTCAGATTTTTGGCTCTTCCGCACTGTTGTCCGCATTCAGGCCCACCGACAGTGTGCATGCATTCGGGGGGATGACAAAGGGGTCAATTGCCCAGGGACCCAGCAATTTAAAAGGGCCCGGGGGGGGGAGGGGGGGAAGGGGATAGATACACATTTTTAAAAAAAAAAAATTAAGATTTAAAAAAAAAAAAGAAATTTGGTTTCCTGCTGCTCTGTACAGGGCGCCGTCCCTCGTTGTGCCAGTCACAGTTTGCCAGAGCGCTGCTGCACCTTGCTGGTCTGGCAGGGAGTCAGCAACAGCAGCCTGGGAACCGTGGAGCTTGCCGCCGCCTCTGGCTGCTCGGGAGCCGCTGTGTCTGCCATGGTGGCTCTCCGGCTGTGGGGCTGAGGCTAGGGAGACTTTAAAGAGGAACAGGCTCCCTCTGCGCTACCTGATTTCCACCCCCAGGGCTGCAGCTCCTCACCAAACACAAGCCAGCAAGTTCAGCCACCCAATCAAGCCGCCCTAAGTTTGCCAAGAGGCAGCCGGGGCCAGCCCCCGATTCGCTACCGCTAGCACTGGCTGACGAGCCGCTATCATGAGCACAGGATGAGGGGCCACCTCCACTGCTCAGTCAGGGAACGAGGGGTGGGTTTTCCCTCTGCCTTTGCCCCGGCCGCCTCCTCGGAGATCTCCCAGTAGATGTGGCACACCAGGCCTGCCATCTCCTCATTGCTCTGGGTGTTAATATCCCACAGCAACGCAAGTATTGTACTGTATATTTTAACTTTGTTGGTCATATTCAGTTACATTTTGTATATCAGTTTTTTCCTTGTCTTTAGCTTACACATGAATCACGATTAGGTGTTTAATTAGCCTACCTGATACTTTAGGTGTTTTCTTACTTTGTGCTTCTTTAAATGTTTTATATATTAATAAATTTTAGTCCATAAAGTATTTATTTAATTTAAATATATAATTCAAAATAATAAATTCTACATCTTATATTTAGACTCACAATTTGTTCAATATTGGTGCTGTAACTGGGAAAAAAGTTAACTAGATTAAGCAACGTCACAATTTACGCATAGTGGGTTCTAAGGTGTTATGAATAGGACAAAACGTCGTGTCCGTATGCTCAGCCATCCCTCTCTAGGGGGAACATTGACTGTTCTGCCCTGGGGCCCAGAGTTGCTGTGGGCAGGCCTGTCCACATTAGAACCATTATATCCGTTTCTCTTTGTGCACTGCTAGACATTACAATGGTTACATGTGCCAGCTTATAAGTGTAAAATTGTCCTAGTTTTCTCTCTTTGGGTCACTTCTGTCTTTTCTCTGAAAGCAAGTGGAACAGGCATGTAGCATATAGTCTTGCAGCAGAATGAACAAATTACAAATTGACCTAATGAGGTGTGAAATTGGGATGAGGTGGCTGTATATTTCAAAAAGCAGAAAAATGCATCCCAATCTGCTAAAACAGAATCAAATATCTGGTTGAGACTAAGTGCAGCTGGCTTTCTTGCATTATCTTTCTCTCTCATAACTTGCCCTGGAAACAATGGATTATTTCTGATCCTTTAAATGTGGCATAAAGACACCCATGCTCCTGGGACACTAAACAATCCTAAACCACTTTATGTAGTGAGTGAGACAGCAAATACTGGAAACACAGTAATCCTCTCACTGGGAACAAAACAATCCTGTTTCACTTTTATTAATAGCACTAGTAAACATTTATATTATGGTAGCACCTAAAGGCCCAATTTGAAAGCTTGTCTTAAACTGTTACTGTACCTGGGCTCTAAACAGCTCTGAAGCAATCCATCTGGTTGCCAGATGTTTTTACCTATATGCTGGGCCTTTAGAATGCTTCCTGCTCCCTCAAAAAAGCCTTAATAAGAAACTTTGCCTCTTCAGTGCTCATGCTGGTGCCTTCAGGAAATTCTGTAGACAGTATCACAAGATCAATGTGTTCTGAAAACTATACCAGAGATTGGCATTTCTTACAGCCGATCTATATATTTTATGGCTCAGAGAGGTAGCCAGTGAGTGATTCATAATCTTCTAATATATTTATCCTCAGGGAAGTACTGCTAGCCTCACTTCTACAGTGGACTAGGCTCAGATCCACAAAGGTGTTTAGGTTTAGGCTCCTACTTTCGTTTGATTTTGATGGAAGTTAGGAGCCATTGTGAATTTGGTCCTAACTGACTTGTGCAAGGTAACACAGGAAGTCTGTGGCAGAATAGGAAACTGAAACCTGGGTTCTTGAGTCCCTGGCTAGTGCCCTTAACGGTTGAGCCATCTTTTCAGGTTCTGTGATAAGAGTCTACCTCTATAAAGCCAGGAAAATGTTGAATAACCTTGTGAAGAAAGTTAGCCAATTTCCTGACCTCATCACAAGGTCTGGTCTAGACACAGATGTGCACCAAAATAACCGTACAGGTTGTAATTCGCCCCTTTTATTGTTCTGTGGAGATGCTTCCGGCTGAAAATGTTCCAATTTTTGCTTTAGTTGTTTTTTAAAAAAAACAAAGCCAAACCTGAAGCTAAATCAAAATGGGATCTGTTTTAGTCCCAACTAAGAGCACCCAACACAGAGGAGTGCAGAACGAACAGAACGGGTGAACCGCCCCCCAGTGCAAGTTTCCGGGCAAAGCTGCCCTGGGACACGAATGACTAGAGCAGGAACTCAGGGGCTGGAGTGAGAGAAGCGGGGAGAGCCGCTAAACACCGGGCAAGGGGAGGGGGAAAGGGGCTGGAAGGAGACAAGTGTCAGGGCCTGGAGAAAAGGGGAGGGGAAGACCTGGGGGCGGGGTCACATGGAGCAGGGAGGGGCTCCCTGCAGCACGTGACCCCCCCCGGCCACGCTCCGCTCCAATGGCGGGGCGGCTTCCCTGCGCCCTTGGCAACGACGCCGCGTTGCTAGGGCGCCGTTTGGCGCGGGGCGAGCTGGCGGGAGGCTCCGGCGCCGCGCGGCCCGTCCCAGGCCGCCGCGGGAGCGCGCGGGATGCTGAAGGCCAAGATCCTGTTCGTGGGCCCCAGTGAGGTGAGTGCGAGGCCCGGCCCCGCCCGGCGGCTGAGCAGAGGCCCCGGGGAGCCTCCTCGGTCCCGAACCCTCCCCACCCCCTGGGAACAGCCCCCAGGCCCCGTGTGTGTGTGTCGGGCCCTCCGCCCCGGAGCCTCGGACCTGCCCCACCGGCCCCCCCCCCCCCGCTGGGTCCCCATCCCAGAGCCTCGTCGGCTCCCCGTGTGATTAGCCAAGCTCCCCCCACCCCCAACAGTCTTGTCTGTGTCTCATCCGAGTGGCCAAACGGGAGGCCCTGGGTCTTGTGTGTGTCTCCCCCTCCCCCGTCAACATGAACAGCCCAGCTGGGAGCCCACAAGGATCCAAGCCCACAAAGATCCTATGGGCCCCACCCCCGTGGACAGGGAAGTAGCCCCCACCCACCCCAAACAGCACAAATCATGTTCCAAAGTGGGATATGCAGTCTGCCCTGCCCTTCCCCCTGAGCCCTGCTGCAAACTGTGGGTGTTGTTTTTATTAACACGAGTGCCTTTTGCTCCCGTTTCTGGCAGTCTGGAAAATCCGTCTTGGCAAACTTTCTGTCAGAGAGCACAGAAGGCATTAGCAGCTACGTCCCCACTCAAGGAGTGAGGTGAGTGAAGCCACGCACCATGTATACTGAAAGGAGACCTTTAAAATGGTTCCCCCAGGGGATGTCACGCTCTTTCCAGGATGGCCTTGTTGTAGAGTCTTATCATGCTCTAAATCCACTTCTGTTTTTAGGATCCTGGAATATGAGAAACCAAATATGAATGGCAACAGTAAAGGGGCGGGGTGTCGATTTGAGCTGTGGGATTGTGGCGGTGATCAAAAGTAAGTGGGTTTTAGTGTTCTTGACACTTCACATTATTTTAACAAAGGTGGGTGAGGTAATATAATTTATTGGACCAACTTCTGTTGGTGAGAGAGACAAGCTTTTGAGTTTACACAGAGCTCTTCTTCACCCACCTTGTCTCCCGTATATCATAAGAACAGCCATACTGGGTCAGACCAAAGGTCCATCTAGCCCAGTATCCTGTCTTCCGACAGTGGCCAATGGCAGGTGCCCCAGAGGGAATGAACAGAACAGGTCATCCTCAAGTGATCCATTCCCTGTCGCTCGTTCCCAGCTTCTGGCAAACAGAAGCTAGGGACACCATCCCTGCCCAATCTGGCTAATAGCCATTGATGGACCTATCTTCCATGAACTTTATCTAGTTCTTTTTTTAACCCTATTTTAGGCGTGGCCTTCATAACATCCTCTGGCAAACAGTTCCACAGATTGACTGTGCGTTGTGTGAAAAAATACTTCCTTTTGTTTGTTTTAAACCTGCTGCCTGTTAATTTCATTTAGTAACCCCTAGTTCTTGTATTATAAGGAGTAAATAACGCTTCCTTATTTACTTTCTCCCGCCGATACAGCTTCTGCCTCCCGCCGATATAGCTTTCGCCTACTCTATAGGTAGAGTAATTACATAGACAGGAAAGCGCTCACCCATCAATGTAATGTGTCTTCATCAGACACCATAAATTGGCGCCGCTGCCATTGATGCGATTTAGCACGGTAGTGAAGACGAACCTTGAGACAAGGTCACTCCCTGTCTCTTAAAGCAGTAAAATACTTGGACAGCATCAACTTAAAAATCACACTTTTCTCTGAAGTCTCTTTTACTCACCACTGAGTAACTGAAAGAGGTTAGAGGAAAAATGTTTTGCAGTTTTTTCAGTTTGCTTGCTTTCTGCATTTGACAACTCTTTTAGATTAAGTCCTTTGTGGGAGTAGCCTTGTACATATTTCTGCAGAGCTAAGTACAGTTGGGCCCCAGTCTTGATTGGGACTCAAGTGCTAATACATTTTTTTTTAAGTCAGTCTTTTTGCCCTGTTGTGGTGGTGGAAATGTGAGGGAGTAGGTTTATAACAGCCAGGAATAGAAAATATTTTTAAAAAGGAAAACTTGGTTGTAAAACCACAAATTGTCAGGGGAATTCAAGGGCAGGTGTAGAATCTGAAACTCCTTCTAACTCACTTTTTGAACTGTTACCAGATCAAGTTGATGGTGATCTTTGAGAGCTTAGCAGGCATTACTCTAAGAGCTCAGCAGGAGTTCTAGGTGCACAAGGAATATGGGATTGGGACCTAGATGACTTGGGGGACACCAATCCCTTAAACTGATCCACCTGGCTAGATACATATGCCTGTTGAAGTCAGTGGGTCTCTGTGAGTGGAAGAGTCTTCCTGAGATGATAAATTTGTAGGAATGGGACCACGCCACAAGTCAGCTCTTTAAGAGAAGGATTTAAACACATCTTTTACCAAATGTTACATTGTACAGTAGATAAAATTTAGCAATTTAAGCTAAAGGACAGTGGTGACACAAGAACAAATGGCTATAAACTGACCATCAACAAATTCATGCTGGAAATTAGAAGATTTCAGCCATCTAAGCAGTGAGATTCTAGAACAGCCTTCCTGTAGGAGTTGTGGGGGGAAACAACTTAATTAGTTTTAAGAGAGCTGGACAAATTTATGAGTGCAATTGTATGGTGGGGTTGCTTGTGATGGGTTTAGTGTGTGTGTGGGTGCTACTTGGTGTGGATGGCCTGTGATATACAGGTGGTCAGACTTGATGATTTAGTGGTCTCTTCTGGCCTCTGAGTCTGACTAAATTAGGAGGCTTATTGGTGTTTGTCTAGAACAAAAATGTGTTTGAAGTTTTCCATATTGACAGCAAGCTTCCCTAATTTTTATAGGTAAAAACACTGACACAGCTGTGTTTGAGGAGAAACAAAATACATAAACTATGTGGAGTTTTAAGTAAATATTAAGTAAAAACAATTGCCAATTTTGGGTCTACCAACCTTACCATTTTCCATTTACCTGCTTTTCAAGGTTTGAAACTTGCTGGCCAGCTCTGATGAAAGACTCCCATGGTGTTGTAATAGTCTTCAACCCAGAAATGCCCAGTCACCTGAAGGAAATTGAAATGTGGTACTCCTGCTTTGTGCAGCAACAGCAGTTACTAGATGGCCAGTGTCTGCTAATTGCACACCATAAGCCAGGCAGTGCAGGGGACACAGAAAACCTGTCTTTGGGTAAGAAGATGAAACAGAGGTTTTTAATTATCACTTAACTTTCAAAGCTGGTGACTCTTTTTGACTTTATGCATTTCTGTAATTTCTTCTATCTGAGAACCTGAAAGTGTAACCATGACATAACAGGTAGATAGGTAAATATATCCCCATTTCACAGATGGGAAAACAAGGTTATTCAGAGAGTTTATGGCTGAACCAGGAATAGATCTCCTGATAGCAAGTCCTAAACAACACTTCATCCCTTGCATGAGGGTTTCTAACTTTAATATGGTCCCTCTGTAGTTTTGTCTATATAGCAACGATTTGTAGAGGCATTTTAAATCAGCATTTTATGAGCACCCCAGGAGTAGCTCAATGAAATAAGAGATTATCTTCCTTGTACTTACAAAGGTGTCTAAAAACTCAGTGTTACATACATCTAAATTGAAGCCATCTAGTCCAAATGAGAGTAAACTGCTATGTCACTAGTGAAGATGGAAACAAAGATGGATTTGAAAAGTTAGGGACCTCATGCTCTTTTCTGTTATATTGCATTACACCAGTATAACTGACTTAAGTGGCAGTGCTGTGATGTACACCGGTGTAAGGGAGAAGAAAATCAGTCCCCAGATCTTTTGATGGAAGAAGCTTACTGCATCCATGAGACAGAGATTCTATCAAAAGGTCCTGTTTTAATTTGGCTTTACAACAGGAGTTTCAAAGAAGCCATCTAGAAATGGTTAACATGAAGAAATATGGAGGAAAACATATTTCAGAAAATGACATCTAAATAAAAGATAATAGAACTATACAGTATCAGAACTTGCAAGGAGAGGCTGTAAGTGTATAGTGCACAATAAAAACTAAAAAGCAATTCTGGAAAGTGTTGTGTGTGTCCACAATAAAAAACCATATAGAATAATCAGACCAGAAAAGTAAAGCTTCAAGAACTGTTCCCACATTACAGCAGATTAAACCTCCATTGACCTGTACTATACACTTTGTGTTTACTTTCCCCTCATTGCCACTTATCTAAGATTTTTCTGAGTTTGGTAGTGCATAAGCAATTTATAATTTGAATAGTTAAATCACAGTGGGTAGATCTACTTGTTCCAAACATTTTTAAGATTTAAATGTAAAAATACTTTATAATTTCAAAGTGATTAAATAGTATCTTAAATGAATTGATTAGAATTCCTACATATTGGCTGGATTTCACTTTGTATCTAAATATGTGATTGCAAAATATATCCTTTCAGTTTTTCAAAGGATTTATCCATCAATGAACTTAGTTCATTGTATTACTGATGCATCATTTTTTAAATGTTATATGTTATGCTGGACAGCAGTATCTTAATGCATCTGGATTTCCAAATGCTTTGAGTAGGATAAACAGTCCTGTGAACTCAAGAAAACTGTAAATGCATTTGTATTAAAGTGAATATAGTAACCTTTATTTTTAATTTTTTGTGTGTAACTTCAAAGCTTCACCACTGAACAAACTGAAACTAATACACTCCAGCCTGGAAGAAGATCCTGAGGATGTCCGCATGGAATTTGTGAAATACTTCAAAAGCATTATCAGCTTGCTAAATGAGAGCAGAGACAGGGAAGAGATGTCAATTATTACCTAATGCTGGAAGAAATACTGAAGTAAGAGAGATACAGTACTTCTTTCATTATGGAATCTGCCCAATCCAGGAAACAGGAATTAATCTTCATCTCTGGCAAATGACAGTCCACAAACATTAACGAGTTTATTTTCCCAAAAGCAAGTAGATGCACAACTTAAGACTCCTCATGAGAACCCGCTATTGACTTCTAATGAACTGCTATCCCCAAGAATTGCATGTAAGTCTAGGAATTTGGGTAAATTAAGCTGCCTCCTGGCATTAGATGAAGAGAACAAGAATGTATTTTCTAATAAAACATTGATCTAGACCTAACTGTATTTAATCATATTTTTTGGTGCAGAGACTAAGGGAGTGGTCACTTTTTTTCTTTCTTTTTTTTTTTTTAATTCACTCATTTAAAAAATATTCTTATCCTTTTCTATACAGTGCTTTTAAAAAAAAGTCCCAGCCTGCCCGTAAAGTTTATGACTATCTGAAGCAGTCGCATGATGTGTCAGTGTCAGCTGTGAGCTTACATGGATAAGACGTGGTTTTGGAAATCATTAGAAAGTAGTGGGAACGTGGATCTGTGAAGAAGTTCGCTTGTGGAATCTCTATTTAGTGTCCCCCACCTTTTTTCTCCAACGTTGGAAGCGAATATAATTTTATAGATTTGTGTTCTGGTAACAAAAATTGCAGTCTTTATCCTGACAGGTCTTTCTATCCAGTTCCAAAAAACTAAGGTAATGCTGGTGATAGTGTTTAAAGTCTGGCTGTAGGAGTGGGAAGGGGGTGTGCAGAGAGGGCATCACAGGTAATGCAGCAGCTGGAGGAGCCAAATGCCAATCGCCACCATTTGAGCTTTCTGATTGGCTGCGCCTGGGAGCCAATTAAAAAAAAAAGTGACAAGATACTTTAAAAACCTTAACAAGCCCGAAAAACTAGCCAATACGCAACGCACAAGCCAACTCGGCATAAAACAAATTTCTGCTTATTTTGAGCAGCTTTGGTGTCTCATCCAGTAGATCATCTTGCTCAAATCCAGGGGCTATGAAAGGCAAAGATTATTGCATTGTCTTGCCAAGGGAAAGATATTTATCAAATGTATATTATTTTCCCTTAGGGAATTTACTGTTTGATTTGTTTTGCTTGCATTGTCCCATTTCCATTCAGTGCATTTGTTGTGAAAGACAGCCCTCTATTTCTCAGCAACTTACAGATATTGGCATGCTGCAAACTGAAAACATTTTGTTTAAGTGCATATCTTGTTTTGAAAGGGAAATCTAAGAATGGATTGTCATCCTCATTGAACTCTACCATTTGAATTGCTTTGCTCATAGTCAAATGAATGGGCAAGTTTTAATGTATTTCATAAAAACTGTCCAAAACCAGAATGCTCTACGTAGTTAAGTGATATTACCACAGAGATACATAGCAAAGAAAGACATGGGGAAAAAAAAGACAAATAAACATAGGCAATAACTTTTTAGAAGAGACTTTTAAAAAGAAGAGTTAGTGTCATAGCATGGAACAGGAACTGCAGAAAACAGAGGCTTTATCTACATTGTCTTTAGTATGTCCCATTGTTGCAGCTCTAACTTCTTTTGCCACCTCTGCTTTTTAAAATCCATTGCTTATGAGAGCTGTATCTTATCATGCATACATCACTATTTCTACAAGTTATTTTGTCTGCTTTACACTATTATGCTGGGTATTTTTTCCAGCTGTCCTGAACTCTAGGCACATTAAAAATACAACAGCCCTTCAACTTTAGCAGAAAGCCTCTTTAATATCCCTTACTCCTGAGAGGGAGAATACTAATGAAGAGGAAAATCCTGCAATGTCAGTAAGTTCAGCATAAGATAGCTGGGATGAGGGCTCTGATGTTTCTCACTGATGTAGTAGTAGGCTGTTGGTATTATGTTCACACTTCCTTTTTGAGCTCTTACTTTCATGATCTTTATAGTAAGTGTCCCATTGTCTTAGATAAACCTGGAGAATTATGTGTACCCATCTGCAATCATTGCCCTAGGGTGCATTTTCACACTTATTTTGAAATTTTCAATTTCATCATATTGCTAGATTTACCATGAGAGCTACTGCCCAGCTGTTGGTCTGGAAGTCTAACTATTTGCCTCCCAAGCTTTCCTTGTTCTAAAATCTCAACCATGAATACTTGAAACCAGTCAAAGCAAAACCTCTGAGAAAGCTGCATTAACGATCCTTTCTTTGTCCAGCTTATCGAGAATGTACACAGGCAGATCTGTTTCTGGCCATAGTCTTTAAGTTTATAAAATGCTTATTTCACAAAGCCTTGGAAAATGCTAGGGTTGTATCCGAATCTCTGGATTGTGTATTAATTATATTGGATTACTTAAGAATTCCCAGTTATCACTCTGAGGGTTGACAGGTTCTTGTCCCACGATCAGGCGCAGTATTATTGAAATTAGCGTTCAGTTGCAACACTCACATTTTAGGAACCCTTCTGTATTTACAATCGTTTATTAATACATTTAGCACAGTCACAAACACACTAACCCAGCAAGGTAGATCGAGATAATACAGAATATACATCTGAACATCCATATACTCACACCATCCCTTGCAGAACAACCTGAAATGTTAGCCATTATCTTCCTCATCACCAGTGGCCATCATCCTGGCACCTCCCAAGAGCTACCTCACTCTCTCCTCCCACACCCAGGCTGGGATACAATTTTTGCAATATGTTAGGCTGATGCCACTATGTGTAATGCCATATTCAGTAAGGGTTTCTCCCTCTTCCTTATTTGTATTTCCTCCCCCTACTAATGTTGGGGTGCCCTTCTCCTATAGGTTAGTATAGGAATAATTTCAATTTATTATCATATACATCAGTTTGTTGTCATGGCACTCTTGTGGTCAGACATCTGCAGATGTTCTATCCTAAAATATCCAAAAGCTGGTGTTAGCTCATGTTTCTGGGCTTGGTTGGTGTCGTTATGGATGAACTTCTCCCTTAAACGCTCTATTCCCAGTTCCCCAAAACTTAGGGGTGTTGGTTAGGCCATTTCTGTGCCAAAGCCATAGGCCTCAAGCCTTTATGCTAATTGCTGAAGCCAATGTCTTACAGGATATGGGCCGGTAGAGTCCTTGTGTTACTGATAAATAAAATAAATGCTAAAGCTAGCTCTATGGGCTACAGGGGACAGGATGCTTCAATTTGACAGTGACCAGCTGGTTGTGGTGTCTTAAAAATAAGGTATCTTTATTTTTGCTTCAAGTAGCGAGTAGCTTTTTCAGTTAATTTCATACACTGTTTCAGGCATTGCATCATCGTCATACGCTGCAACAGGATCCATATAAATGTAGATAGATTCTAAAAGCTGCTTTTCGTTCCTCGTGCCTTGACTTCTTTGGAGAACCTTCTCTCTGAATATCAAGCTCTGTGGATGTAAAACAAAGAATGAGACAGAGGTCTTAAAGAGCTCTTATAAAGCCCTCAACTCTTGCAGTTAACTACAAAAAAACCTATCAATCCATGCTGTGCAAATCTGGGGATTGCTGTACAACTTTCTGCAGAATGTGCCAGTTTGTTCAGGCTATTGGCAAAACTGTGACACATGAAGCCAATGCCAGGGGAAAGCAATGTTCCTTCATTGTGTGCATGTCTTGAGCTCTGTATGTTTGCAGTCACTGACATAAGGTAGCTGAGAGAGGGCAGCCCTTGGAACATTCACAGATTAACTGAAGAACAGGTTTATTTCTTTGTGTGTTGGGCTATTCCCTCCACCCCTGTAGCCAGCTGTGCAATGTTGAAGATCATTAAGAAACTCCATGAAAGGCTACTAGCTGAATACTCTGGGCCCCTATCATCCCTTCCACTTGTGAGTGTGAAGAGGACTCAAAACAGGTGAAAATGAAATGTTGGGGAGGCAGCAGAGACAGTGGAGCTGCAGCTGATCTCACAAAAGTCCTTTTATGGATATGCCACAGGACAAAAGGCTCTGTAGCATAGGAAAGGAAGCAACAGAAGATTATCACTCTCCTAATCATCTTCCTTCAAAGCTGCAGAGAATTTGCAGTATAAACTTTTTCCTTCTTCACATTGGAAACATTGCCACCACAGCAGGGGACTTTGGGGCAACTGTCCTCAGGAAGTCATGCCACCATGGGAAAGTAGAGAACCAGGGTAGTGTGGAGACAATGGGGCCCAGATCCTCAAAGGTATTTAAGTGCCAAACGCTACTGAAATCACTTTGAGGATCTGGGCCTGAGCCTCCAAGCAAATGCCACCATCCTCTGTGATGTCCCAAGATTCATGGGATCTTGAGACATCCTCTTATTTAGTAGGTCAAGTTTCATTCCAATTCTGTTTGGGGACAGCCCTTGCCCCCTGAAAATGATATGCAAGACACCTATGCAAGTTGAAATTTGCTGAGTTTCCTGGTCCATAGGTTTTATTTTTCCCCTTGTATATTCAGCTAGTAGCTTTTCCTCCATTATTTTGTCAGCAAAATGACTCTAAGCCCCCAATCTGTGATTCAATGGGATGGATTTCAGCCCCTTTGATCAAGGAAATTCCCTATGTTGGCTTCAATGCAGGAGAGTCATTTTGCATCATAAATCTGTTCCATTCTTCTGTTTGAACTTAGGATGAACTTATATTGCTGTGACTTGGGAGGGGCTAGTCTAGAATTAAGAATTTAGAGGCAGGTTTTGTTTTTCTGACCCACTCACAAACAGAATATTTAAAATGTTAACTTATGTATACCAATCCGTTGGTGATTGGTATGATATTGTAATCTTATCGTTCTACTGAAAGCCCTCAAATGCGCTGGCACTGAGCTAAGAAAACAGTCTTATTTAAACAGAAGTTGTGGAGATACTGTATTCTGTTACCATCTGCCAGTGAAGAATTAGTCACCTTAACAGCCTAAAAGAAAAGGAGTACTTGTGGCACCTTAGAGACTAACAAATTTATTTGAGCATCAGCTTTTGTGAGCTACATCCGATGAATGCTACATCGTGAATGCATCCAATGAAGTGAGCTGTAGCTCACAAAAGCTTATGCTCAAATAAATTTGTTACTCTAAGGTGCCACGAGTACTCCTTTTCTTTTTGCGAATACAGACTAACACAGCTGCTACTCTGACACTTAACAGCCTAGTGATTGTTTATTTTTGTTATTCAACAACATGGAAATGATTTCCAAGGATTTTTCCCTATAGGTGAGATTTTTGTCACCTATGCACTGGGATCCCAAGGAAGTGGTGTACCTTGCATTGCTTTGGACATTTAAAACTAGACTGGACAAAGCATTAGCACAGGGTAGGGAACAGTCCAGTT